TCCAAAAGGTCACACATCCTGGTACTTCTGGGTGTATAAATTCACTATCAATAAGAATTTCTTGGTTAATTTTTGGCTGATCTGCACTGGCTCGGAAGATGAATTCTGATTGGCTAAAAAAACAAAAAACTTGTGGCGTTGAATGCACGTTCATTGTCAGTATTGTTATGCAAATTCAAACTAGCTAATCATTTACAACCTTCCGAGCCAGTGCAGATTAGCCCTTAATTTTCCTATAAAATGCATGCACTTAATATCAGTAAAGTTAAAATGGTTTAACCTAAGGCAATTTCAGTTGAATTAAAATGTTGTACTACTGATTGTGTTACTGCAGTGCATTATGGGAAATAACATCCCATTGTATATTATGGGAAACTAATATCACCCTGAAAACTCACTAAATTATGTCAATTTTTTGAAATGTTTTCACAATATTAAGACTCAATATTTATGTCAATAATAATAGAACATGTCTTTTTCATCCAATTTTGAGATATGAAAAAAAATCTCATCAGTTTTGACAATTTTTCAGAATGTGTAAATATTTGTGTGATAAATATGTAATCCCACAAAATTTTCTCTCTGTGGCTCAAATTGATACATAACTCTTGCGATAATCACTCGTGTCAGCTGACGTCAATGTATTAAAGTGAAAATGTGGGATTATATATAATTATTATCCAGCTGTTTGTAATGCACAGGGTATCTGTACCTCACCTTATTAGGAAATAGAAATTCCATATATGGAACATTAACTCATATTTAAAAGAAAACAGGCTTATGATAGTCAATACTCGCTGTTCTGTATTTGTGTATTTGTAATATCCTCCTAATGCCCTCACAGTATGTAAATCAGATTCGTATTTAACTAATCACGATATCGTCTCTCATTGTTCAACAATAACATTATTCATATCACAACTAGGTGGTGATTCATCTTGTAGGTTGGAATTGAAATTTCCTCCTTAATCTATAAATTATAACATAAATTTCATGCTCATTATAAGAGAATTATAAATATCACGTAATTTATGTTTATGACATTTTGTTGTGTCTTGAAGGTATTTGATAATGAATACTGCTTCATGTACGGAAGCTTTTTTGATTAAATATTGGTATTTGTTGCTATAGCCTATATAAGATACTTCCGCTGATTACCTAACTGACTATCAGCTCCCGAATTTCTAGTCTGTGTCTTGTTGGAAAAAGTGAGAAACTGAAGATTTTATAGGTATTACCCATAATCCCCGAGGTACTGGTTTTCCTGGTTCTTGTTGTTCTGATGAACTATCGAACCTGTACGTGTGAACTTTGCAGACGAAATTTTAAAGTTTTTACCCCAGAGCAAGCAAGTTTCTTTTTAAAGGACTGGTTGGACTAAACATGTCACATTGAAGTGTCTAATAAACAAAGGGATTAGCAGCAGTGGGAATTGAGTTCTAAGCGACGATAACAACACACGCTAAAAACGCAAAAGATGTGTAGACGCTTGTTTGTAAACAATGACACGCTATGGCCATCTGACACATGACTTCATGTTCACAGTTTGAATATTATAATTTCTTCCGCCAAAATTTTGGTGCAACATTTCACAAATTTTCATGAAGAATTATTTTTCTGTAATTGCTTTGTTTATGTTGGAGCCAATGGACATGCATGTAGTTTGCCATTGATTATAGGAGTTGATCAAAAGTTTCGAAAAATACGAAAACTATAATGCAGTTTTAGTTTAGATGCAAGTTTGACTTCGCCGTTCGATATGGGTCCCATGCGACATATGCTATTTGTAAACATTGTTTGTTTCTATGAAATTCACGGGATTCTGGGCCTAACATGATTCACCCCCTTTAACATTTTGGGCAGACCAGTGTACCTTCTGTATTTTATTGTGGTATAGTGACACTACTTTTTTTCATTCTTGTTTACGTACTACTACATGTACATTACAAAATATGACTGTTTTTCTATATCCAAGCTTTCAGAAAATATATACAATGTTAAAAATGCTTTTGTAATATTAAACTGAGAAAGCAATTTAATAAAAAAAGAACTCTTCATTACATGATTTGTGTAGCCGCTAACTTAATACTTGATGTTTCATAATATAGCGTGCGAGCATACTGTGCGGTAACACTGAAATGCACGTCACTGGCTCCCGTTGATAACGATTGTTAAATTGAAGAATAATTTTCACATGTATTTCCAATTTACAATGTGAACGTTTACTTGAGACGGACGTCATTTACACTGAACTCAATTTTGTTTCTGAGGGCCTCTGTTCAATATTCTCTCTGTCAACTGTGATTAATGCTGTTTGATTGAAGATGTTCAAAGAATGATGTATCGTTGAAAGGGGAATGTACAGCATATCTCATTTCATATTTAGAGCCAAAACTATCCATTCCTCCAGGTGATGCTTTGCCTTTTGATCTTGTAATGGTTTCTGTATCATCAAGGTTACCCGATTGATGTGGTTGCTACAGTAACAGAGGATGAACGTTTTTCTTTTTCTAGAGGATTTAGCATCATTTTGTTGGGGTTATGGCTACTTTTTTAATAGGTCGTTTTAGGTGAATCTTGTTTTTACATGGTAACTATGTTGTTAAGTATAGCTGGCAGGGCGCAATTAACATGCACAGGGTATGAATGATTGAATAAAAGGTGCTCAAAAAAAAAACTTACAGTCAAATTCAAGTCTGTATTTGAATATACAAGAAAATCGCTTATTGAATTGAAAATGCTGTGGTTTAGGGGAGAATGTCTGATTATTTTATACACATTTTACACAAGTTTTGCCAAAAAAAGATAGTCAACAAGTTCAGACTTAAATTTCACATGTTTGTCGAGCGGAGCTTATCATATGAGTGAATGTCCATCGTCGTCGTCCGTGTCAATGTTTTATTTTTTTTCGACTTCTTCTTGAAAACTACAAGCCTGAATGCTTTGATACTTGGTATATATGTACCTTGGGTAGACCTCTCTCAGATTTGTTCATTTCATGATGATATCTTCAATTCTCTAATTTTGGTGAATGTTTTTGTCATTTTTGATAAAAAGTGATATTTTCAACTTCTTGTTAAAAACCGCAAGTCCAATTGCTTTGATATTACATATATAGGTACTACATGTGGACCTCTCTCAGATTTTGTCATTTTGTAATGATATCTTTAATTCTCTAATTTTGGTGAATATTTTTGTCATTTTTGGTAAAAAGTGATATTTTCAACTTCTTGTTAAAAACCGCAAGTCCAATTGCTTTGATATTACATATATAGGTACTACATGTGGACCTCTCTCAGATTTGTTCATTTTCTAATGATATCTTCTGTTCTTTAATTGCCATGTGCATTGCTAACAGCGGAGCTATCTCAGCCGACAGGCTGCTTGTTTATCATTCAATGTTTCCAAGACTACCCTAAATTCTTTTAAACCCTCTGAGTGTCAAAGTCAACTTCAGGCACCATGTTCAAAATAGTTCCATTTATAGTGTACTTGAATAAATTTTTTTGAAAAATTTCAATTTTTTTGATCCAAAACTAGAAGTTATGTCAGATTTAGTCTCTTTGGTCCAAAATTAAGATTGAATTAAATAAAAATTACAGAAAATATGAACAAATTCACACTATTTTGAACATGAAAACAATATGGCGCTGTAAAAGGTTAAAGGCTAGGTTCAAACATGGATTCTGATCAGTCAGTTTACACCAGTGTCATTTTTTTCTGTTTTTTACTCTGTATTGTATGACAATTCCTATCAAAACAATTTCTGGCCTACATAAATTGATTTGACTTGCTCAGGTTTCTTGAAGCCTTGCTTTCTTAACACAAACAGCATCTTTGCATTTCCCACAAAGCCTAATTCTCCTCCATGGAGACTGCATCAGAATTCCCGTCTTCTCTGTTCTTTGTATGAGTAGATGTTCTTAGATTTGCTTTTTGAGATCACTGTAACCAACTTTTAAGTGTCTGTTTGCTCTATGGCTCTTGAAACCACTTAAACAGTTAAAAGTTTCTATCGTATCTTGTCCTTTCATGAACATGCATGTTTCTTTTAATCAGAATGTTCTCATAATGGAGTTATTTGTATTTGCGTTTGAATTGAATCAATTGAGAAAATCTTTCTCATTATCAAAAGAATTTCACGATTGAATATACTTTACAACGCAACTAGTGTGGAAGTGAAGTGAGATTCACTTCCCTTATCAGCAGAAATCATTATACATCTACTTCACAAAGATAGACTACAAGTAAAACAATTGCATGCACCTAGTCGAATTACAAAACAAGCAGTACACTGTGAAATTACAAATTTCAGTCTGTGTTGCGTGTGATTTCAAATAGATTATTATTGTAGATTTTTCTTCAACATTTCAAGTCCTGCCTTTGTTGCACGGACAGAATTCTATAAAAGTAACGAGTTTCTTGTTTTGAAGAGACGTTGTCATGACAACTGCATACATGTATATGTGAACTGTTATTTATTTGTTCTTCTAATCTTGGGTTTTTTTTTTTCAATAATCATAATTTGTTATTAATTTATTACAACAAAAGACCAAGCCCAATTACATTTACGCATATTTTAGTTTTGTTAGGTAAATTTTTTGATTTTACTTGATTATCTGTAAAAAGTACCATGCTTTTAGCAGCTTAAAAAAAAATTATTGCTACAGTTTATATAAAGCACTCATCTTTTGTCGAGTCTATCTTGAACAGTGTCTCTTTGTTCATATCTACAGAATTTTTTATCCAGCATGCAAAACTTAAATTTAACAGTAAGCAAAGTCAGCAATTTTAAAGGGGGTGAACATTTCACTGGGGTCCTAGGGAGTCACAGTGACCTTTACTGGAATACTAGGGAGTCACTGTGGCTTTTCACTGGGGTCCTAGGCAGTCACTGTGGCTTTTCACTGGGGTCCTAGGGAGTCACTGTGGCTTTCGTGAAATTGCGAACATTTCCAATGTGATCCATTCTCACCAGTTCTTTGTTGTGTTTTTTTCAGATTGCTTTCGTTCCGCTGCTGAAGCTGGGCCAAATGACATCCTTAAACTATACAACACAAGGGGCAATATTGTGAACATATCGCCAAAACTCGAAGAAAATACGCCAGAATCTCGCTATAAGCTAGAAGTTGTTGCAGCACACTGCACCGGTAAGCTGTATTGACTTTCAAATTAAGAGTATCATACTTCTTCTTGGAAAGTTCTATCAAACACTTTTGCAATTGTTTTTTTTTTCTGTTCTGCTAAGTGGCCTTATTAGGAATTGGTTGCCATAACATCTAATATGCAAAGTAGTCATATAATAAAATTGTTCTCCTTACGCATGAAGTACATGACTATTACCTGAGCATCTGTAATAAATTTCTTATAATCAGTCAACTCTGTAATTTTTTGTTTTAAAAAATAATGTACAATTAGTCACAATGGCCAGTGCCTGTTGGTTTTCAGGCATAATTTGAATACCGAAAAAAAAAAAATGACAGTGACAATGTATTAATACGAAATGTGGCTTTTTTTTTATAGTGGCACTTTTAGTGCTATGTGGTTATATATATATGCAAAGACAGACGTCTATGGTCAAAATAAGTCGTATTTTATTGATCCAACATACATTGAATACATTTTTTTCATTTGCGCTTCTAATAGAGCAAATACAGTGAAATATTACACATGGTGAGTCGGTTTGCTGATGGCACAGGATTCAGTGTACGTCTAAAGTGCCTATCACTATCTCAGTAAATAGCAATGTAATAGCGCCATGTGTAGTAAATTGATTAGTAGCAAAATTGCAGTTGTAATTTTTTTTTTTTTTTCAATTCCCCTTAAATAACATTTTAAAGCATATGGATAGTAGTTATACAAATCAGGCTGTTTGATGTGATTTCTTTTCAAGCATGAGAGAGCAAAAATGATTTCTTCGGGCAATTTCTTTGTGTAGTGGTATTATAATTACTATCAAGTTCGCTTTTCATGTTTAAAAGCCACTATCCTAAATGGCTTGTTTCCATGACGATCTTTTGATTAGGGTTATAGTTGTTGTTTCTCAAGCGTCCCATCCCCAAGTGCTGTTGGTAATGTGTTATTTGAACGGTTTCAAATTATATGTTACTATGACAACTACTGTAGAATACTTTATATTCGCTTGGAATTTATTTTTGCTGTTTTCGCTGAAGGGTGATTCCGTGAAAATAAAATCCAGTGAATATACTTTTTTTCCTATATTTCACATTCATCTCATCAAAAATCAGTGAAAACTAAATTCCATGCAAAACGCCCAAAAAAGTCTTTTGAGCGAAAATTAATTCCAGCTAAAATAAAGTATTTCATAGTATGTGATAGCTCTGGAGTCTCTTTTTCGTATTTGATTTTTAAAAACAATTATCATCGAAGCTCAATGCCTGTATATCCCTTGTAAAATATATATAACTTCAATTCGTGCGAAATACATTTTCACGATCTGTCAGACATTTACGTAAAACAGTGAGCTATGGTGTCTATTATGAAATATCCGTTCTGTTGTAAACTGCGAATTATCAATCAGGACGATGTCTAGCACTTTATATTACACATACACAAAATGTAAATAGCATCGCCAAATCTCTTGACTTTTCACCACATTTTTTTGCACTTTCTTCTTATATCCTTCAATATTTCTGGAAATGAACCCAAATTTTGGAGCCAACAGACAAAATTTGAGTTAATTTTCAGTTTTTACTCAAAATTTGTTGGCTATCTTTGTCTTCTTAAGAGAAGTGCAGACTATACACTGGACTATTTTGTGAATTTGTATGCCATGGTTACAGCATTAATTAATTGGAAATCTATGTATGCTGTCGGTCAGTTTTTTTTCTTTGTTTATTATTTGTTTCAACTGTTGAAACGAGATCTCCCCTGATGGGGTGGTATAAGGGGAGTTTAATTTTCACTAAGATTCCTCATCAAAGGTTTTTGTGTTCTATTGTAGTCTCTTCATTGGTGTAGCTTGTACAATTTACGTTAAGATTTTTAGAAACTTTGAGTCCCAGATATTTTTTGAAAAGTAAATGGTTGTCAATTTCTCATCTACAGATAAATTCATCTTCCAGGTTTGCTCTAGGTTCATTTTAGTTTAGCTAACTGTCGAAAATTATAAACGTTATAACGGTTAAATGATGAAGTCTAATCATTGTACCAAAACTGACAAGCTGGCTGTTGAATAAATATATCTAATGTCTAATGACAACATAACTTCTGCAATCTATTAAGTCCCTCGTGCAAGTATCTCACTACGGCAGGAAGACGGATCGTTAGTTCAGGTAGAAACCGGTAATTTATCAGATGCTGAGCATCATTTCACAGTCGGTGTCTTATTGTAGCGGACACTTAATTGTCAGGCTTCAACCTTGATTTGATGACGAGGGTACGTACGAGTTTCCCAGGGTAGTGAGCAACTTAGGAGGTTGTATGGACTTGTATATGGAGTGAAATATTGCGGTGATAGTACATTCGACAATCAAGTGGAGGCATCATTAGTCACTTGCAAGTATGCAGCGCTTCTGCTTCCCATGTCTGGGTTCCACTGTTTCCTCAATGCTAGCGTACAAGTGCTTGACAAGCGTCATTGGAACGCGTGGTTACTGTCATTCAAGTGCATGGTGATTTGGGTCAAGTATGTATGGGGAATTAGTGCAACCTTCAAAAACATCAAAAACAACTTTTCTATAAGTACATGCAGCCTGTGTGTATGGAATTCGATATGGTGATGTGTCATGAGGAGCCGCTTACCACGTTCGTGTAACACCGGTAGTCATTTTATTATTATGCAAATTAGCAACAGATAATAGTTAGATATGACACATCACAGCTGTAATCTACAAAACATTTTATGCAATTAAGGTACATTGTATCATATTTTTTTCTAT